GGTTTAAAAGACGGCAAAAGGGCAGTACCTCGTTGGCAATGAAAATAAATGTATATGTTTACCGTCACGGATAAAGTAGGCCAGCCTTTTAGCACTGAACTAGACCACAGTGTACGCTAACATAACACTAACCCCCCTTCATTGTGTTCATTGGCGTTAGTATTCGTCGCCGGGTTAGTGGGATTGCACTCGAATTCGATGCTATCGATTCACATTAAGCGAGAGTTCCCGTGATATGATCCCCACTCTACGTGTAAAAGTAATCTCGAATTGCAAAGCACTCCTGATAGACGGAGAAGAGGCGATCCCTGGAAGAATATATTTATTGGTCTGACGTTTCGGATTCTTGCTCGAACCCATCATCAGAAATAATCGCAGGAAGGCATGGCAGTTGAATTATAGCAGGAACAGGTCGTACCGAACGCTTTCTTTTCTTCTCTTCTTGACCTGCCAAAAGCTGCTTCGATATGTCCAAGCATGCTATCACGCGCAGTGGCTGACCAGACACTTCGCTTATGCTACGAACATGGGAAAATGTATAGCTTGTTTTGTTTACCAGGTTGTACACGCCTTTATATTCGCGGTAAGACAACCACTACTCATTTAATGTTAGACAAACGCCAGGTACTAACTAGTAGATGTACTCACCCTTGTGTCCAAGAGGAAGTGTACGCGAGAAATAAGCCGACTGCTTTAGTGGCGTTGTCGGCTTGGCCGCCGCGAGGCCCGACTGCTCAACGGACGGAAGCAGCAAGCTAGCTCCAGCACCTCTCGTCTGTTGAAAGACCATGGGTTCCAGAAAGGAACCCAGCTCCACAGCCTGCTGCTGATGTTGTTGCTGTTGCTGTTGTTGCTGCTGCGACAGGTACTGCTGCATGGGAAACGGCAGCATGCGATTAGCGGATGTAGTCGCCGCCGCCGTCTGTCCCATCAAGCCAAACTCCCCAGAGTATAAGCGGTCCATGTCCATGGGGAAGTCACATTTAGACCGGTTGCAACCGAAGTACTGCGCAGAGGAGGTTGTGTTGACGTTCCT